TTTTTTTTTGACCATGCCCTATCTCTAAAATCGCGAACCCTACCTCTATGGCACATAGTTCTTATTATTCAAGAAATAAATTTTTGACGTGGAGGAAGCCTGATAAAAGTCATTAATTTTAAGGTTTAAACAACGTGACACCCGTAGAAAGAAAAAAAATTAGAAAGTTAAATTTTCATTTAAAGAAATGCAGAAAATTCAGTATTAATAACTCGTTCTCGAATTGTCGTCCCTCCATAGGACGTGGACCCCACGGTTCTAAATCAAAGTGCACGGATTTTTAGAAACATTTTTCCAACCTCTGCGTAACGTGCTTGTTTAATTTATGGCAGTCACTTCGTTCAGATATTTTTTGCGTATGAGAAAACTGCGTCCGCGAGTCATGCAGGTCGAATTTGACAACGTCATACGATCTGCGCGAGGATCACAGTTCGAAGCGATGACGTTCAAAGAGCACGTCGTCGTTGTCATATGTTTAGGTCACGTGATGCAGCCGTTCATATTGTTACAACATCGCCCCGGACGATCGTGGTAATCTTCTGCTGACAGATAAGAAGCCACAGATTTATCGACGCGCAGAAAGCAAACTGTTTTCGTTCTTCTTACCATCCCGCTCCTCGTGTTGGAGCGATCCTATTTATTTCTATCCGAATCGATCATTCGAATAGAATCTTTGCACGTTTTTCGACGACCGTGAACTAATTTCGTCCGAAGGCAAATATAGCGGATCGACTCGTACGATAAATGGCAATGCACCGATTCGTTAGAAATCGTTTGGTTAAGTTAACCTATTGCGCTGGAATGACGTGCCACGCACGTCGAGAATTTTTTATCCCAAAATTGCAATATTTTCTCAGTTTCAAGTATATTTAAATATAACCCAGGCAAAACAATAATAATAAATTTATTACTTCGCAATTTCTATCCAGTGATATATCATATCGACGAGTTCAAAAAGGAAGCGACGAATTATTGTATGCGGTTTGGTCACTCGTTATGGTCCGCGAATCAGTTAACCTCTTACGCTGGAATGACGTGCCATGCACGTCGAGAATTTTTTGTCTCATATTTCCTCAATTTTAAGTATAAATATAACCTAGACAAAACAAATAATATTAAAAATTTATCACTTCTTAGTAATTTCTATCCAGTTATATTATTCTGACGAGTTCAAAAAGAAAGTGACGAATTATTGTATACGGTTTGGTCACTCGTTATGGTCCGCGAACCATTTGCCAGCGCAAGAGGTTAACCTTCGTCCCAAAATTGCAATATTTTCTCAGTTTCAAGTATATTTAAGTATAATCCAGGCAAAACAATAATAATAAATTTATTACTTCGCAATTTCTATCCAGTGATATATCATATCGACGAGATCAAAAAGGAAGCGACGAATTATTGTATACGGTTTGGTCACTCGTTATGGTCCGCGAATCAATTGCCAGCGCAAGAGGTTAACCTTCGTCCCAAAATTGCAATATTTTCTCAGTTTCAAGTATATTTAAGTATAACCCAGGCAAAACAAATAATAAGTTTATTACTTCATAATTTCTATCCAGTGATATATCGTACCGACGAGTTCAAAAAGAAAGTGACGAATTATTGTATACGGTTTGGTCACTCGTTATGGTCCGCAAATCAATTGCCAGCGCAAGGGGTTAAGGAGAATCGCAGGAGGACAAGCGAGCGATGTCAAGTCACAGTCCGACTACAGTTACGAAATCTGTTTCGAACTCGGATGACGCGACTACTTAGGGTATTATGCGCTCATTATTAGGCCCTCTGGCAGGCTAATCGGGGTTCAAACGGTGAATACACGCGCGAGTCACCTAGCGGATTCCCGTTGCGGCACGCGTGTTTGCCCTCGAGAGAGCCAGGGCGACGATGGCCCGACGTTTTTCCACTTGTCGCGCGCAAAATTGGACTAATTTCGTGTACTTCCGGTTTCCTCCTGGGCGGCGAGGGAGAG